GGACTAACACTTGCAATACCCTCTGCCCCTTCACCTAACCATCAGTTTACACTGCCCGAATCATTCTGCCTTCACCCCAGCAAAGAGCCAGGAGGTTTAGCACACATAGGAAGCCAGCACTAAACAGGATGTCAGGGCTGTTGCATTCCTTTTTGAAACGGAAATTGCTTTATTATGATTTTTTCTGATTACAGTCACTCCTTCTCCCCTTGTTAGGACTTCTGGGAATAAACAAGACTGGTCTAATGATGGGCAAAATTAATATTGACAGGGCTTTTTATGTCTCATTGTGTTGACTGACATTAAGCTAGTGTAATTCAAGGTGATGAGGAACAGGGGATTGATACAGTCTGAACTGTATCAATAAATGACCTACAGGCCCATGAAACATGCAAGTATTTTAGCAAAGGTCTGGTTTCTCTCGAACGATATTCAAAAGTAGTTGTAGTGAGATCAATGGAAGGCGTTACAGTGCAAACTGAGTCTGTAGGTGGTGTTAGAAAGAAAACTTATTGGAGAACATTGGCATTTGAGGAAGCTGAAAGCTCTAACACGGAATCATTGAAGAACTTTCCAGAAAGATTTACAGGCAGAATCAACAAGGCTATTCCCTGTGACAAGTGTTTATCTTCAAGGATATGAAGAAAAATGATCACTGGAAAACAAAACTGCCACAGAAATTGCCCTTTCTAGTATTTGCGAGTCAAAACTTTCAAGAGTGTGAGACAAGTGTTATTACAGTACCTGCCTCTGGAACTGTTAAAAGAATTGAAAAGTTGAAAATCCATGTAGAATAATAATTACAAATGCTTATAAAGTTCTTCCAGTGAGCTGGGCTGTTCTAGCTCACTTAATAATTTAATAACTTATTTTTGTCCCCATTTTATAGATCAGAAAACTGAGGCACAAACACATGGACAGTTACTGGACTCAGATCCCATGACTAGCAAGCTCCAAAGCCAAATCTGAGCTAGGTAATATGGTTGTGAAGCCTGTAGTTATAACCATTATTCTAAACAACCTAAGTATCTGGGAGAGTGACTGTACACGGCAAATGTTACATTGGCAGTTTTTGTGAATTGGTATAGATGAATTAGACTAGATGGAAGTGTTTGAATTCGATGTTTGAAACTAATCTCAACAGGCAGGTTGGTAGTATCATTTGGGCTTGGGTCATTTGGTAGGTTACATTAGAACATAATTTGTTCTAGAGCTCCAAAGTCAAAAAGGCACCAATTCTTTCCGAAAACCTTACAGTTTCTCTCTGGTCTGTTATTAAGGATGGCAATTCTATGACTTTCTGAAAAGGAAGTTGTACCATCTTCATTCTTTCTTTTCTAGTACATCTAGTAACTCTCATCATCTTTTTCCTAAACTTATAATAAATATTCATGTAAGCTTTATAACAAATTTCTTTTCTTTCTTTTGTTCTCCATGTTTCCTATATTTTAAACATAACACAATTAAGAACAACTCAGGCCCTGCAGTACACATTTTCAAATGAGTATGATATTGTCCAATGAAAAGATTCAGTGATTCCTCCTTTAAAGCAAAAGCAACCATAGGGGCTTATTTCCCACCATGCTTTTCACTGCTATCTGTC